TTATTATTATCATTATTATTATCATTATTACTATTATATCATTATTATATTATCATGTGCTTTACTCTTGCTGATCGAGTAACTGCTTTAATCTTTATTATATCTATTTATTCTTAGCCATTTAATTCTTAGCCGCGTTGGTGTACTTTCGTGCAAGTGTTATTGAGTTATTTCTAATTCTTTCAAGTACCTTGTTTGGCGTCTTCATTTTCCTGATTGTGATTGTTATAAAGATATACCGTAAGTATGACTTTCATTTTACTATGAAACCTTAATAAATATAGTTTGTGCAGTTTTACATAGTCACATACACACACACATATTGCATACACACAGACACGCACACACACACGCACACACACAGACACACAAATCTTAGAAAAATGGAAAATGAAATACTGAAACTCAAGTTTATATTGACATTGTATTTGTGTATTGAGAAGTACGTTTATTTTGGGGACAATGCACGTATCTTTAAGCGTACCAGGGAGGACACTGTGTGGAAAAGGACACGTATATTAAGGGAGAGATATATATGTATTGGAGGGAGGATATGTGTATTAGAGGAGACACATATATCAGGACACTGTATCAGGAATGTCACACGAAGGGAGGATATGTGTATTAGAGGAGACCAGGACACTGTATCAGGTACATGTATCAGGAATGTCACACGAAGACCACATGTACACGGAAGAGCCCACGTATCAGGGAAGACATACGTTTCATGTCTAAAGAAGGACACATATTCCAAGGGGGATTCGTGTTCAAGGGAGGACACGTGTATCAGGGAGGACACGTGTATCAGGGAGGACACGTGTATCAGGGAGGACACGTGTATCAGGGAGGACACGTGTATCAGGGAGGACACGTGCGAGCGTTGCCAATTTTGTCTATGATCCAAGGGAGATAATCTGCAAACAAAATCGAAGAAACTGTTGAATTTAAAACAATAAAGACTATGAACCGTAATGTAGAAAAGGTATGAATGGGAATAAATATCTTCACAATACAAGAGATGTATTTGACTGGATTTTGTATACATATGTATTTCATTAGAAATATATATATGTATTTCTGACGAAGATACATTTGAAACCGGTCAAATTGTGAAAATATTCATTCTCATCCATACATTTCCTACAAAAAATAAAGAATATTTCGATTCTAAAAAAAAAAAAAAAAAAAAAAAAAATATTTCGATTCTGAAATCATAATTTCGAGTATATTATAAAGAATGGAAAGAACTGAGAATTTAAAGAATTCACCAATAGTGGAGAGAGTATTATCAATAAAGTTGACAGGTACATGGATGCCTATAAAATACGTACCATTACTTAAAAAAAAGGTAAACAGAACAAAAAACATTTTTCTACTCCGTTATGATTCATTGTTTATTCTCACGCAGACGTAAAGTGATTATTGTGTAAATAAGAGAAAAATGATAAAGAATAAACACAAACAAGTATATTTCATACTCGACAATTAAAGGCGAAAACGAACCCAAAACAACATGTATGAGTGAAAAGGAATCCAAAAGCAGACAATTCGACCGAAAAAACGACCCCAAATCAGGATAATTAAGACCGAAAACGAACCCAAAATCGACCCGAAACACCAAACAATGAAGACCAAAAACGGACTTAAAAAACAGACCAATTAAAAACGAAAATGAACCCAAAACACAAGACAATATCGACCGAAAACGAAAGCCCAAAATCAGACGAAAACCCCAAAATACGCAGTCTCGAAAATGAAACCCAAAGACCGAAAATGAAAGCAAAACACAAGACCGAAAACTAACACAAATCATCACACTAAAAGACCGAAAACGAACCCAAACCAAAGAACCCGAAAAGAACCCAAAACACAAGACAATCAAAACCAAACACGAACCCAAAACAAGGCAATCAACCCCAAAACCGAACCTTAAATGACACTTACAGACCGAAAACGAACCCAAAACCACACTAGAAGACCGAAAACGAACCCAAAATCACACTAGAAGACAGAAAATAAACCCAAAACCACACTATTAGCCCGAAAACGAACCCAAAACCACACCAAAACACCGAAACACGAATCCAAAACATTTTAAAAAACATCATAAAGTCAAAACTCACTTCCCACCCTCGTGTAGACGCCCGCGACGCCCGGCTGAGCGCACGCCGACGGCCCGAAGGACACGATGCCGATGACCACCCAGCGGTCGCCCTGCTGCGCCATCAGGGGGCCTCCGCTGTCGCTCTGGGGGAGGAGGGGGAGGGGTCTCAGAGAGGAGGTGGTTGTATGGCAATGACATTGGGAAAATACTTCTTTCTTGTTTTTTAGTGATCGTGTGTGTTTTGTGTGTGTTTGTGTTTGTGTGTGTGATTTTTTTTTAAGTGATTGCGTATCAAGGAGGTGGATTGTTAATGGCATTGGGTAACTCTTTCTTTAAGGTGACTGTGGTCTTTTTTATTGTTTTTTTTTAGTGATCGTGTGTTTTTTTTGTGTGTGATTGTGTTTTTTTCTTTTTTTGTTGGCTTCAAGTGATTGAGTATCGTTCATTCTTTAAAGGTAATCATGTGTATTGTTATTTACTCAAAGTGGTTGTGTGTCTTTATTTTCTTAATGTTTTTTTTTTGTGATTGTGTGATGTTAATTTGTTTAAGGTTGTAATGAGTGACGTGAGGAAGGGAGGGGAGGGGGGGAGGGAGGCAGAGGTGGGGGCGATGTGTAGCAGAGGAGGTAGATAGATATTTAGATAAATATAAAGAGATATGAGAGAGGGAAAGAGAGAAAAAAGAAAGAGGGGGAGAGAAAAAAGAGAGAAGAGGGGGCGATGATGATAGAGATAGAAAGAGCGAGAGAGCGGGAATGAAAAATCGAAAAATCTAATAAACAACCAACATAATCTAAATAAAGCAGAAAAAAGATAAAAGAGAAAGCAAAACAAAACCTAATACCACCCTCCCCCACCCCCCTCACCCCTCCACCCCCTCCCCTACCAAAAAAAAAAACAGAAAACCAAAAACAAACAAAAACAAAAACTCACGAAGCATGCGTCCTTCCCCGGCGCCGAAGCACAAATCATATTCTGAGTCACTTTCCCCTTCTTATACTGCTTCATGCACTCACTCACGGGCACCGTCTGGACGTCGACCTTCTGCAGGACCCTCGGCAAGGAAGGATTCGAGGGGTAACTTAGATAACCCCAGCTGACGACAATAATAATTATGCGGATGAGAATAATTGAAGAAAATAGTTTAGAAATAAAATGTATGGATTTTTTTTTTTTTTTTTTTTTTTTTTTTATGTATTATCTACACAAGATCATCTGTGTATCTGTCTATCTATCTGGCTATATCTATCTATCTGTATATGTGTATCTATCTATCTATCTGTCTATATGTGTATCTATCTATCTATCTGTCTATATGTATCTATCTATCTTATCTGTCTATTATGTATCAGATGAATGGCATCGGTGGATTAGGATATGACAAAGAAAAAAATATATAAATATAAAAAATACAATATTTTTTTAGATATATATCATATACACAAGATCATCTATCTACCTGTATATCAGTCTATCTGTCTATATGTGTATCTATCTACTATGTTTCAAAAGAATAGTTAAAACCATGGAAAAAAATGTTGCAAAAAAAGGAAAAGATTTAAATAAATTTTCTAGAGCATTTTATAATTCTCGGAAAATTTGGGGAAACATAAAAGAAATAATGGAAGATTGATAAAAAGAAAGTATCGAGAGAAAATAACAAAAAGAGAGGAAAATGAATAAATAAATAAAGAAAGAAAAAAGAACGAGATAAAGAGAAAGAAAATATAAAACAAATGGAGAAGAACGTAAGAAAGAGAGCAAGAGAAAAGAAACAGAAAGACGCAGAAAAGCGAACCATAAGCATGTGAAAATCTGATTAAGGAATTGAGAGAAAGAGATCCAGAACAAGCAAAGGAGAAATCAATAAAAAAAAACAAGACAAAGAAGGATAAATCAAGAGAAAAATGCAAATAACAAGAAGAAAATGACATGAAAATGAAAAAAAAAATAGAGCAAAAAATCAAACAGTCAGAAAGAGAAATGAAAAAGAGAAAAGAAAGAAGAAATAAGCGGAAGTAAAAGAAAATGAAGCTTTCCCAGACGAAGCCAAAGGACGAAGGAAAAAAAAAAGAAATAAACGGAAGTAAAAGAAAAATGAAGCTTTCCAGACGAAGCCAAAAGGACGAAGGAATAAAAAAGAAAAATAAACGGAAGTAAAAAAAAAAAAAAAAAAACTTCCAGACGAAGCCAAAGGACGAAGGAAAAAAGAAAGAAAGAAATAAACGGAAGTAAAAGAAAATGAAGCTTTCCAGACGAAGGAAAAAGAAAGAAGAAATAAACGGAAGTAAAAGAAAATGAAAACCCAGACGAAGCCAAAGGACGAAGGAAAAGAAAGAAGAAATAAGGAAGTAAAGAAAATGAAGCTTTCCAGACGAGCCAAAGGACGAAGGAAAAAGAAAGAAGAAATAAACGGAAGTAAGAGAAAATGAAGCTTTCCAGACGAGGCCAAAGGACGAAGGAAAAAGAAAGAAGAAATAAACGGAAGTAAAAGAAAATGAAGCTTTCCAGACGAAGGCAAAGGACGAAGGGAAAAGAAAGAAGAAATAAACGGAAGTAAAAGAAAATGAAGCTTTCCAGACGAGGCCAAAGGACGAAGGAAAAGAAAGAAGAAATAAACGGAAGTAAAAGAAATGAAGCTTTCCAGACGAGGCCAAAGGACGAAGGAAAAAGAAAGAAGAAATAAACGGAAGTAAAAGAAAATGAAGCTTTCCAGACGAGGCCAAAGGACGAAGGAAAAAGAAGAAAAATAAACGGAAGTAAAAGAAAAATAAAACTTTCCAGACGAAGCCAAAAGGACGAAGGGGAAAAAAAGAAGAAATAAACGGAAGTAAAAAGGAAATGAAGCTTTCCAGACGAAGCCAAAGGACGAAGGAAAAAGAAAGAAGAAATAAACGGAAGTAAAGAAAATGAAACTTTCCCAGACAAAGCCAAAGGACGAAGGAAAAAGAAAGAAGAAATAAACGGAAGTAAAAGAAAAAAAAAAACTTTCCAGACAAAAGCAAAGGACGAAGGAAAAAGAAAGAAGAAATAAACGGAAGTAAAAGAAAGTGAAGCTTCCAGACGAGGCCAAAGGACGAAGGAAAAGAAAGAGAAATAAACGGAAGTAAAAGAAAATGAAGCTTTCCAGACGAGCCAAAGGACGAAGGAAAAAGAAAGAAGAAATAAACGGAAGTAAAAGAAGTGAAGCTTTCCAGACGAGGCCAAAGGACGAAGGAAAAAGAAAAGAAGAAATAACGGAAGTAAAAGAAAATGAAGCTTTCCAGACGAAGCCAAAGGACGAAGGAAAAAGAAAGAAGAAATAAACGGAAGTAAAAGAAAATGAAGCTTTCCAGACGAAGCCAAAGGACGAAGGAAAAAGAAAGAAGAAATAAACGGAAGTAAAGGAAATGAAGCTTTCAGACGAGCCAAAGGACGAAGGAAAACGGAAGAAGAAATAAACGGAAGTAAAAAATGAAGCTTTTCCAGACGAAGGAAAACGGAAACGACGAGAAGGACGAAGGAAAAAGAAAGAAGAAATAAACGGAAAATGAAGCTTTCCAGACGAAGCCAAAGGACGAAGGAAAAGAAAGAGAAATAAACGGAAAGTAAAAGAAAATGAAGCTTTCCAGACAAGCCAAGGACGAAGGAAAAGAAGAAGAAATAAACGGAAGTAAAAGAACGACGAAGCCAAAGGACGAAGGGAAACGGAAGCAACAGCACTACCCGGCGACGGTGACGTTGGCGCTGTCGTAGGCGCTGAGGGCGTCGGGCGGGCACGCGGGGGCGACGTCGGGCCAAGTCGCCGCGAAGTCGAGGGCGGAGGACAGCTGCACGAGTCCGATGTCGTTCTCGCTGGTGACTGATTCGTTGTAGCTCTCGTGGTTTATGACCCTCGAGACGGAGAGAGTTCTCGTGGACGCCGTCTCGTCCGCACGTGTTCGGTCGTGCTCGCCGACTACGACTTCGGGAGGGTTTCGTCGGGAGGGCCGGTCTGGGGGTGGGCGGGGCCAAGGTCTATATAAGGACAGGTCTCGTCACTTAGGAGTTCTGTGCAGTTTTGGGTGATAAGGCCTATGACGTCACTAGGCGTAAATTGGGTGGGAAGATAATAGATTTTGGTCGGGGCGTTCGGATAAGGCATCGTGTCGGCTCGTCTTTTGATGGGATCCTATTCTATTTAGGTATTTCTATTTGTTGTATTTTGTTTTTGTTTTTTATATATATAATGCCTTGAATCATATGCAAATCGCAATACCAGGGAAGATCATGCAACAACGAAGCCTTGCAAGAACCGAAGCCATATTGCAAAACCAATCAGTTCACGGCGAATTCCCCTCCAGACACTCACGGGCGTATGCAGTGGGCGGCGGTGAGGACGTAGAGTTCGTTGATGAGGACGCCCCCGCAGAATCTGTTTTCGGGCAGTAACAGCAGGACCACCCAAGGGAACTCGTGCAGACGGGCAGCCACTCCGCCCACCACCCTGTTGGTTTCCAGGCCTGGCATCATGGGGTTGTTGGTGCCACGCTGCCCGCACCCTGGGGAGAGGAAGGGGTTGGCCGGGTCAGAGTAGGCTCTCTCTCGCTCTCTCTCTTCTCTCTTCTTCTCTCTTCTTTCCTCTCTCTCTCTGTCTTCTCTCTCTCTCTCTCTCTCTCTTCTCTATCTCTCTCTCTCTATATCTCTCTTATCTCTCTTCCTCTCTCTCTCTCTCTCTCTCTCTCTCTCTCTCTCCTCTCTCTCTCTCTCTCTCTCTCTCTCTCTCTCTCTCTCTCTCTCTCTCTCTCTCTCTTCTCTCTCTCTCTCTCTCTCTTCTCTCTCTCTTCTCTCTCTCTCTCTCTTCTCTCTCTCTCTCTCTCTCTCTCTCTCTCCTTCTCTCCTCTCCTCTCTCTCTCTCTCTCTCTCTCTCTCTCTCTCTCTCTCCCTATCTATCTGTCTCTCTCTCGCTCTCGCTTTCGCTTTATGTGTGTATGTATCTATTTAAGTATATAGATAGACAGACAGGTACATAAACAGAAATATAGGAACAAAAGTGTATATCCATAACCTTGACATTTTCCCATATCTTACTTGAATGTAAAAAAAAACAATACCCAAACAATACAAATCTTTCCCCAAACTTACGGCACTCGAACCCAAAACCAAAAAGGAAATTTAAAAAAAAGGAAAACAAAAAAAAAGAAAAAAAAAAAAAGAAAAAAAAAAAGAAAAAAAAAAAAAAAAAAAAAAAAAAGCATTTTAGCAGAAACAAAAAATAAACATCACCACTCCAGACTCACTACAGGTGCGCGAAAGCAGGAGCAGCAGCGGATAGCGAGGCCCACCGTGCAGCTGACCCCTTTAGAGGCCGCGGAGGAAGCCCAGCTGGCCCAGAAGACCGCCTCCAAGATGTTGGATGTTGAGGCGACGTTGCGAGGGCCGTTCTCGCGCGGACAGCTATCAATCGGGGTAGCGGAAATATTGGGAGGGTGGGAGAAAATAGTAATATAAGATTGCAAGTGTGATGATGGTGAATGTTGTATGATATATTGTTGATGATGGTGATAGATAGGTGGATAATGTTGATTCCGATGATGGCATAGTGATGATGGTGGTAATGTTGATGATGATAGTAATGTAATGATGATGCTGATGTGATTGGATATATGTCATGGATGATAGATAATTGATAATATGAATATATGATACTTGATAATTTTAAACTGGAATATGATGAATAAAGGAATAATAATGTGATGAAAGATGTGAAAACATCAACGGCGACGCTGAAGACATAGCGAAGAGGAGAAGGAAAACACACAAAGAGGAACATCATAACCAAAAAAAAAAAAAAAAAAGAACCAAAAGAAAAAAAAAAAAAAAAAAAAAAAATCCAATCAACCTCACCTTCGAACCAATCCACACGCAAAAAAAAAAAAAAAAAAAAAAAAAAAAAGACGCACGCAAAAAACCACACGACACTGACCACTGATACCCATTGGCCCCAGAGGCGATGGCGAGAAAGGGCCCCCCCGGCAGTCAGACGAGGCAGGCAGGGAGAAGTCCTGACAGGTGATTGTCATGCGCCGAGTGACATCCCGAACCTGGGAGTGGATGAAGGAGTTGTGGAAGGGAGTGGTGGTTGTAACGGAAGTTGTAGAAGTTGTAATTCTCAGAGAAATTGTTGTTGTAGTGGAAGTGGACTGGTAATGATGCATTAGTGATAGTGATAATAGTGATGACAATAATGGTGATAACAAAAATTATAACAATAATAATTAATGATGATAATAAAAGTAATACAGCAGCAACAACGATAATAATGATAATAATAATAATAATAATAATAATAATAATAATAATAATAGTAAAAATAATAACAATAATAATGATAATAATATCGGTAATGATAATAATGATAGTAATGATAACAATAATGATAATAATAATAATAATAAATATAATAATTATTTTGGTAATCATAAGAACTGTAACAATAATAATGATAATAACAAAAACAACAATGACAACGAATAAGTAATAATAACAAAACCAATAACGATCAAAAAAATAACAATGACACTATATATAAAAAAAAAAAAGGACTCTAATAAAAGGACTCCTTCCTGAACTCACAAAAAAGTACCATCTGCAGAGAGTCCAAGGAGGCGATGGAGAAGGATACCCCGGACTCAATATACTGTAGGACACGCCGGGGAAGACCTCGACTTGCGAATTGCAGGGCACGGGAAACGTTTGTCCTGCGGGAGAGATGGGGGCTAGAGGGCACGGGAAACGTTTTGTCCTGCGGGAGAGATGAGGGGTTGAACGTTTGTCCTGCGGGAGGATTGGGGGCTAGAGGGCACGGGAAACGTTCCGCCTGCGGGAGAGATGGGGGCTAGAGGGCACGGGAAACGTTTGTCCTGCGGGAAGATGGGGGGCAAGAGGGCACGGGAAACGTTTGTCCTGCGGGAGAGATGGGGGTTAGGGGGTTGGGAAACGTTTGTCCTGCGGGAGAGATGAGAGCTAGAGGGCACGGGAAACGTTTGTCCTGCGGGAGCATGAAGAGGGGGCTAGAGGGCACGGAAAACGTTTGTCCTGCGGGAGAGATGGGGGGCTAGGGCAGGATAACGTTTGTCCCTGCGGGAGAGATGGGGGGGCTAGGGGGTTGGGAAAACGTTTGTCCTGCGGGAGAGATGGGGGGCTAGGGGCACCGAAACGTTTTGTCCTGCGGGAGAGATGGGGGGCTAGAGGGCACGGGAAACGTTTGTCCTGCGGGAGAGATGGGGGGCTAGAGGGCACGGGAAACGTTTGTCCTGCGGGAGAGATGGGGGCAGAGGGCCGGGAAAACGTTTTGTCCCTGCGGGAGAGATTGGGGGGTTTGGGGGTTGGGAAACGTTTGTCCGTCTGAGATGGGGGGTTTGGGGGGGAACGTTTGTCCTGGGTAGAGATGGGGGTTAGGGGGTTGGAAACGTTGGCGGTTTTGGGAAACGTTTGTCCTGCGGAGAGATGGGGGGTTTGGGGGTTGGGAAACGTTTGTCCTGCGGGAGAGATGGGGGGGTTTGGGGTTGGGGGAAACGTTTGTTCCTGCGGTAGAGATGGGGGTTAGGGGGTTGGGAAACGTTTGTCCTGCGGGAGAGATGGGGGGTTTAGACGGGCACGGGAAACGTTTGTCCTGCGGGAGAGAATGGGGGCTGGAGCAGGGGGGGAAACGTTTGTCCTGCGGGAGAGATGGGGGCTTAGAGGGCACGGGAAACGTTTGTCCTGCGGGCAGAGATGGGGGTAGGGGGTTGGGAAACGTTTTGTCCTGCGGGAGAGATGGGGGGGCTAGAGGGCACGGGAAACATTTTGTCCGCGGAAGATGGGGGAGCTAGAGGGCACGGGGGTTTGTCCTGCGGAGAGATGGGGCTACGGGGGGAAACGTTTGTCCTGCGGGAG